TTACATCCCTCTCTAAGCGGTTTACAGAGTCAGCCTCTTGCCCCCAATCAATCTGGCTCCTCGTTTTACGGAACTTGGAAGGACGGAAGGCTGAATCGGCCTGGAAGAAATGCCAGCAGTTTCTCTTATGCTACAGTTCCAAAGGGGAAAAAAATGCCAATCCCTCTTAGTGGTCTTTTGTAGACAAGGATCCCCTTTCCCCCCACCCACTTTTTCATAGTTTTAGGACAGCACTGCTACCGCAAGACCTTAACCCTCGCCTCTTGTGGATAGCTTCAAGGAATTTTTTTTAAAAAAAAAAAAAACGCCAGGCAGGCAGGCTAAACTCCTTTGCTACTAACCGTCTTTTCCATAGCCAGGTTCCTTTGTCTAACCAGGATGAGGGGCTAGAGATGAGACACTAGAGGGCACTGAACGCAGCTGGGAAAGCTTTAATCTCCAGGCTTCTGGGGTTGTGCTATGCCAGCTCAGGAAAGGTAGAGCGAAGACGACTATCTTACGGTCTGTCATTTGCTTCTTCAAGCAGCTGCTGCGTGAAAACGGAAGCCGAATGCTAAGCTTGCACCGCTGGCTAGAAAAGCCATGGAGCATCGGGGTTGAATTGGGGTTTTTAGACCCTGGCTTGTTCCCCGAAGAAAGGACCCAAATATAAACAGCAGGAACAGAGGTGCAATTTGAGACAGATTCTGTTTTGTCTCTTGTTCACTTGGTTTGAAGTTCGAAGAGAACCGGGTGGCCGTCATCGAAGGAGGGCGAAAATCCCCGGAGTCTTGTTGTGTTTTTAAATACCCTTTCTTTGGATCTTTTCTTTCGCTCTGCTTTTCTTCTTCTGAAGGTTCGTGTCATTTGCTACGAGGTGGTTTCTTTTCCGATTCATTGGCCACCTGCTGGGCACCACAGAGGTTGCAGGGAGCCAGGCTAGAGGACCTCCGAGGTCCCTTCCCAACCCTAGGATTCTATGAATGAACAGGAGGTTGGACTAGAAGACCTCCGAGGTCCCTTCCCAGCCCTTCCAGGATTATCCCCATCGTATACTTCTTGAGTATTTACTTGAGAGTCAGAATTGATTAGGCCAGGTTTTTTTCTCAACCTCCGCTCTTGGAGAGGTGTGGACTTCAATTCCCAGAATTCTGGTCCACACCTCTCAAAGGAATTGAGGTTGAGAAACCTTGATTCACACACACACACACACACACACACACACACACACACAGAGCCCTGCACGACCACCTGCCCACTCCGGGACAAGGAACGGGAGCTCACTCTGTGACGCGGCACTAGGGATTCGAACCGCTGAACTGCTGGCCTTTCTGATCGACAAACTCAGTGTCTTAGCTACTGAACCACCGTGTCCCCATACTACTTATGCCACACTTCTCCATACTATTTGATTAAATGCTATCAGATACTCATTAACATTTTTTCTCAGGCCAAACGCTTCTCTGCTTCTCCTTGTGAGACTTACTTAGCTCTCAGTCTCCTCCTCCTCCTCCTCCTCCTCCTCCTCCTCCGAACATGGAGATAACACACATGGCATAAACTAGGCGTAAAGTAACTATCTCCTGGACGGGCTGGTGCAATTGCCTTCCCTCTTCGCTTGCAGCCGGTCCTTTCCACCGGCACCGTTCAAGCCAGCTTGGCTTCCAATTCTTAGCTACTTGTCCATCCTCACAAGCTGTTCCTCCCACTCCTGCTTTTCTGCCTTGCAGGGTGGTCACGATCCCAGTCGAACCAAAGTACTCCATTTCTCCATGAACCCCGCCAGCCTGGCCAAGCAACAGCGTCAAGAGCAGATGGGGAATCTGCGGGAGGAATGTGAACGTCTCCGTGAGAGGATCAGGATTTTAGAAGGCGGAGATGGGGGAGGAACCAGCAGCACCAGCAGCAAACTGGAGGGTGGTGTAAATCTCCAGTCCCACCCTGAAATCTCTGGTAGGTACCTAATTCTGCAGTCAGAGCAGCTTCACGGTTTTTGGGGAAGAGCCGTTCGATCCAGTGCCAAATGCAGGACTTTCCGACGTGCTATCGGCCTAGTTCACCCCTTGTGTGGTTTTGGTAGCCATCCAGTTGAGACTTTCACAACCTTGGCAACTTCAAGAAGGGTTGACTTCAACACCCAGGATTCCCCAACCATCTACTTTCCTTCCTTCCTTCCTTCCTTCCTTCCTTCCTTCCTTCCTTCCTTCCCTCCCTCCCTCCCTCCCTCCCTTTCTTGCTCTCTCTCTCTCTTTCTCCCTTTCAGTGGCTCTTTCATTTATCTGTCCGAGGTTGTGTTTTTCCAATGCACTCCTCCTCCACCCAGTCTTTAATCGATTTGAGCTACTGTGTTGTGTTAGCACAGTTTTCAGTTTTATTGTGCATTTTTAACCTCTTCTGCTGGACAGCGCAAAAAAGCAATTCATACAGTCGGTCGCTGAAGCACACTCCAGCAATTGAGTGGCAAATGGTGTGTGTACCAGGCAAGTCAAGGACTACTTGACCAGTGAAATGGTATGAAGAATGTTGCGGTTTCTTTTAATTGATGTGTAAGTTGCTCCTCAGGTTTCTGAGTGGAGAGTAACGTTTTTCAGCTCCGCTGCAGCCAGAGAGGCCCAAGCTTTTATTATGCCCGAGATATTTGTTGTAATACAGAGCAGTTCAAAATTTAAGGCTCTGCGGATTATAATTACGGCAACAAAACAATAATCAAGAAGATACTGAGGACGGCAGTGCCAATGGGTTGGCGTCATAATTCCTTGGCCACTATTTAAATCTTCTCCTTGGATAGGATTGTGACGTATCGTGGCTAAAAGGGGTTCCAGCTTGTGGGATAGGTAATAAGGAGGCTTTAATGGGGGTGCCAGAGTCCATTAAATGTGGACTCCACGCATCAGAGTGATCCTAAACGCCAAATATCTTTCGAAGCAGCAACTGGAGATTGTCCTGCAGTTTTGGCCAAGTGCCACCGAGCTTCTTGATGCTTCTTCGCATTTGCTTTCTGATTGTCCCCATTAAAGTGGAAGACAAGAGTTTTGTTTTGTTTTGTTTTGTTTTGGAGGGGCAGTTTAGAGAACTGGCCGGCCTATTCTTCTTCTGGTCTTCTTTGATATGAAAATGACAATTTGGAGAAGGGGACTTTGTGAATGGGTCAGAGTTTCAGCCGCTTCATTCTCTAGGTGGGCCATGACCCTCAAGACTCGGATTCAGGGAGGATCTCTTGCCCAGTTGGGGCAAAGATTTTCAAACTTGGCAACTTGAAGCTGGGTAGACTTCAAATCCCAGAATCCCCCAGTTGGCATGCTTCTTAAGGTTGGCTCTGTTGCATTGCTGATCCCTTTAGGTCAGGGGTGTCCAACCTTGGCAACTTTAAGACTTGTGGACTTTTCATTAGCAAAGCTAGCTGAGGAACTCTGGGAGTTGAAGTCCACAAGTCTTAAAATTGCCAAGGTTGGACACCCCTGCTTTAGGTGGTGATGAAAAAGACCCATATCTACCTAAGACAGTGGGAAATCTTTGGTTGATAGTTGTGGGTTTACATGCTTGTTCCCAAACCAAGAATGTCATGTTTAGTCTGGTTCTAAGACACAACTGCGTGGTGGTGGTGGGGGTTTGTGGTCTAGTGTTAGTCTAAGCCAGGGGTCTTCAAACTCGACAGCTTTCAGACTTGTGGACTCCAACTCCCAGAATTCCTTCTCCAGTCATGTTAGCTGAGGAATTCTGGGAGTTGAAGTCCACAGATCTTAAACTTGACAAGTTTGAAGACCCTTGGTCTAAGCCAGTGGTGGCTAACCTTTTGGGGTTCCGATGCCAAAAATTGTGCGCGCACTTGCATGCCCGTGCTCATGTGCCAGTACCTAGAAGGCAGTGCACATCCCCCCTACCTCTTGTGCATGTGCGTGCAATCCCACCACCCCTTTACCTTCACTGTGCCTCACAGCTGATTTTTTGGCTGGTTTGAGGCCTTTTTCGGCCTCCCAGAAGCTTGAAAAAAGCCTCTGCAAGCTTTGCAGGCCAAATAATAGGCCCGTTTCATCACTTCTAGTATTATAGGAAGTGATGAAACAGGCCTATTTGGTCTACAGAGGCTTTTTTCAAGCCTCTGAGAGGTCCAAAAAGGCCTCAAACCAGCCGAAAAATCAGCTGTGAGGCGCGCCCATGTGCAGTGAGGTAAGTTTGCCTGCGGCTCGCGCACCGGCACAAATGGCCTCTGCGTGCCACCTGTGGCACACGTGCCATAGGTTTGCCATCATGAATCTAAGCCATAAGTTGACAAGGCTGGATTCATACAACATCCCAAGTCAAATCCCGAAAACCACATTAGATTTGGCTGCAATCTAAAAGCGAAGGAAGCTCCAACATTTTTAAGTGATTGTTCTTATTCCACCCCCCACTTTGAAAAATAATATATTGCTCATCCAATAAAATGGACAATGTAGGCCCATGATAGAACAGAGTTGGGATTGCCTCCCTCCCCCGTCTTCCTTGTATCATCTTCTCTGTTGTAGACAATTTTGATATGACTATATAATTATCGTGAGTTTTATCATAAGTGTTTGGGTTTTTGTCTTTTAATTTTATAATGGAGCCTTTTGTTCTCCATTGTGGCATTCTGTTCTGGGGAAAGAGATTATTATTAGAGATAGTAATAACACTGGAAGAAAGTTCAGATGGGGGAGGAAATATCCTGAAGGGGAAAATAATTGAATAGATCCTACTCGCAGTCAAAGTCTCCTTATGCTGACCTACACGGCTGCAGAAGTCTTCTCTGAGGTCCATTTGAGGAGATCCATTTCTATTTTTTATTTATTTTATTTATTTATTTTGATTTGTCAATTGCTTACAAGATAATAGGTATAAGTATATACATAGTTATGAATACATGGATACATATAAGAAAAATAAGAAGAAACAATAGGACAGGGACGGTAGGCACGTTGGTGCGCTTATGCACGCCCCCTACAGACCTCCTAGGAAAGGGGTGAGGTCAATAGTAGACAGTCTAAGGTTAAACTTTTTGGGATTTGGGGAAGAAACCACAGAGTCAGGTAGAGTATTCCAGACATTGACCCCTCTGTTGCTGAAGTCGAATTTCCTGCAATCAAGTTTGGTGTGGTTAACCTTGAGTTTGTATCTATTATGTGCTCTTGTGTTGTTATGGTTGAAGCTGAAGTCTTCATTGACAGGTAGGACATTGCAATGTATGATTTTATATACCATACTTAGATCAGACTGAAGACGGCGTAATTCAAGATTTTCTAGGTCTAGAATTTCAACTCTGGTGGCATAAGGTATTCTACAGCGAGTAGAGGAGTGGAGAACTCTTCTTGTGAAATATTTCTGGACTTTCTCAACTGTGCTAATATCAGATACGTAATGTGGGTTCCAGACTGATGAGCTGTATTCGAGTATTGGTTAGCAAATGTTTTGTATGCCCTAGTTAGTAGTATGATATTACCAGAGAAAAAGCTATGTAGGATTAGCTTAACAACTCTTAATGCCTTTTTGGCTATGTAGTTACAGTGGGCTCTAGCACTTAGATCATTAGAGATGAGAACTCCAAGATCCTTGACAGAGCTTGGATCATCAACAAGGTCTTGACTATTCAGCTTGTATTTTATTTTCTGATTTTTTTTTTTGCCATTATGTAAGACAGAGCATTTATTTGTTGAGATTTGGAGTTGCCATTTGTTTGACCATTCTGATACATAGTCAAGATCTTTTTGAAGGGTAGCAGTCTGTGGTATTGAACAGCTTTACATCATCCAGCAAAGAGAACGCACTTGCTCTTAATATGATCACAGAGGTCATTTATTTATCTCATAGAACTCTTCTTCATTTTTTTAGAAGGGGAAGCATTTTGATCATTTCCTAAGAAAGTTGAGTGAACTCTAATGCCTGCCGAAAGATCCACTGGATTTTAAAAATAATGGAATCGCTCTACTAAATCTTTGAAGGCAAATTGAATCTGCTTGTTGGCTGGACAACCAGTGAGTAGCATAAGCAACGATTATCCAGGGAATTGGTTCCAGTTGGCATTCAACGGTGGGGCACTTATCTTTTCATCCAAGAACAAAAAGATCAACCGATTCTTGTTGTTCCAGGTGTGGAATTAGCAAATGGTGTGGAATTATCAAAAAACAAACAAACAAACCTGGCCTACTTATAATAAAAAGGTAGTTATTGCTATTTCAGATCTTTCTCTTTATTTCCACCGCCAACATCGCCTAATCTCCTTGGTCTGAAAGGACGTCAAAGTGCATTTATAAAACCCCGGGCTACATTTCTTCTAAAACATACGTTGCCATCCCTCCAAGGCATCAAAAGATGAAAGGGATCTTGAAATTTAGTCTGAACTTTGGCGGCTCCTCGGGAAAGGCTAACCGAGGAAAAAAGGGAGGGCAGGTAATGAAAAGAAGTTCAAAACCTAAAGAAGGCTGAAGGGAGAGAGAAGAGAGCCGGAAGGATATAAATACCGAGTCAATTGCAAAAAAAGGGGGGCTCAGGTGGATTTCTAAAACAAATTCAGGGTTTGGAGAAACAACAACAATCAGCAGGTTGTGGTAGGAGCTGTTCTACCTGATCATGTTTACGTCAACCCCTTGCTCAAACAGGGGACCCTAAACCATTTTGGTGAAATTGTTGTCCAGTCTGTCCTTAAAAACCTCCAGTGTTGGAGCACCCACAACTTTTAAAGGCAAGCCATTCGGCTAATTAATTGTTTTAATAACTATAAGGAAATTTCTCTAGGTTAGATCTCTCCTTGGTAAGTTTCCATCCGTTGCTTCTTGTTCTGCCTTCTGGTGCTTTGGGGAATAGCGTGACTGCGCCCTCTTCTTTGTGGCAGCCCCTGAGATATTGGAATGTGCTAAAACAACCCAGCCAAAGTTCAGGTCTATATTTACTTGCATCCTATAGACAGAATCTTGCCGCGTTTAATCTATACCACTCTTTTCCCAATGGATATACCTGGGAGATTCTGGGAAGTGCCTATCTGAATTTGAATTTGAATTTTACCTTTATTGTCACTGCATTCCAAAAATACAATGAAATTTGAAAGCTACTCCAGCACAGTGCTCCAAACACCACATCACAATCACACTACAAGTATTTAAAAATTAAAATAATTAAAATAATAATAATAATTAAAAACCTAGTCTAAAACCTATCTAAAACATTTAGTAAGTTAAATAGTTTAAAAATGCCACTATATATATAGGACTACATCACAAATGCGCTGTTTGATTCAAGACAATTATTGCCTCGGAAAAGAAACTTTTTCTCAGTCTATATTAGTCCTCAATTTAGGACACCTATAACACCTCCCTGATGGTAACAGTTTGAAATATGAATGACCAGGATGAGAACGGTCTGTGGAGATTTTTAGTGCTCTAGCGAGGAGTCTGGTCTTCGCAATCTCTTCCAAAGAAGAAAGAAAACAACCGATGATTTTTTTGTGCTGTGTTTACAATTCTCTGGGGCATCTTCTTATCCACTATAGAGCATCCAGCATTCAAATCATTTCAAATAAAATTCAAATTCACAGTAAGGCTTAACTCCAAATTTGCAGGATGCCCCAAGCTTAGCAACTTGAAGGTGGGTGGCCTTCAACTCCCAGCATTCCCACGGGTGGGATACCTGGCTGGGGAACGCTGGACGTTGAAGTCCACCCACCTTCAAGTTACAAAGCTTGAGAAACACCGGCTGAGCGTCCTGACTCTTGCCGGAGTGAAGGTTCCTGCTTCTGCATTTGTCGCTTGTTCAACCATTGTGTAGAGGCCGAGCACGAAAGGTTGGTTTACGACGTAGAAAGGCAAAAAGAGGTTGTATGTCTCTGGGATCACAAGGGGGAGAAAGAGAGCGGAGTTGGCACCAGCAGCAAAGCCACAAAACGTTTCTGACCATTTTCTTGACTCCTCCAGGGTGGAGGGTAGCTTTCATTCCCATCCTTCCAACTGCGACAGGAACCAAAAGAACGTTTGTGTTGGGGGATCACGGTGGGTTAGAAAAAGGCAAAGGGAAAAAGAGAGACGTGTTCTTTAGAGCTGTCATGCCAATCCTCCTGGGCTGGCTGAAGATTGTTTCTTAGCCCGAGGCGGTTTTACCTTCAGGAGGAGAAAGAATAAAGAGCAGTTAAGGGACCTAAAACCCTCCTTTGTTTGGGTCCAATGAACTGACATCAATGGAGCCCCGTTCTCTAGTCTTCCCCGCCGTTGCCTTCGCAGACTCTTAACTAAGAGTGACTTTTGGGACAGAAGCAGGACGCCGCTATGGTTCATACGTTTTGTCTTTTCTGAACTTGAATCTCGCTGACCTGCGAGCCTGTTGGGATCCAAGGGCATGAGGTCCTCTCTACGTCCAGGCCCTACAGACCCTTGGGTAGATGTTCCTCAACCTCCCCGACGCAGTGAAGAATCCTCAGGGCTCGGAACGGCTCAGAAGTGTGTCTACCCACTCTAAGATTTTCAACGAGACTCCCAGCCAGAAATTGTGAGTTGGTCCACCCGTTTCTTTTCACTACCCAGGAATTTATAGCGGGTCCTCCTATCTAGATAATATCATTCACCATCCGGTCAGAGCTGAAGAAGCTTCTTGGATGAGAAGCGAAACGTCTTCAAAGCAAAACCAGACTTCCTCCGGGAGGCCTCTTTACTCCCAGATCTCCGAAACTGCTGCAAAGAGAGAGCAATTCTGCAGCAAACGTGGCCAAAGGCCATTGGAGCGCAACCCTCGGCTTCTTGCCTGGTCTCGGTTATCCTGATCTAGGAAAGGGCCGGTGTCGGAAGGCAATGGGCCTCTTTCATTCCAAGGGGAAGCTCCGTCCCATTCCCGCAAAGCCAACCACGAAGCGACGGCTCCCCAAAGTTGTCAAGCGGTGCGTTGCGTGACTCCTGATATGCCGAGTTGTCACTTAAAATCTGAATGTGGTGACAGCAGGAGCAGCAATTCCCTCTCCAATCAAGTAAACAGAGTAACACATCTTCCAAGCAGTGGGATACTGGAGGCTAATTTCCATATTAAACGAAGAGAGGCTACATCAATCCTACAGTTAGATTGATATTTTAATCAGAGAAAGTCAGAGAGATACATTGGAGGGTGGCTCCCGGGGGGGGGAATGAGCGAATTGCACCCAAGAGCTCAGCCTTCCAGGCTGTGTGTGTGTGTGTGTGTGTGTGTGTGTGTGTGTGTGTGTGTGAGAGAGAGAGAGAGAGAGAGAGAGAGAGAGAGAGAGAGAGAGACACTTGGGGTACACAACATCTATGCAGGAAGACAGTCGACTGGCAGGTGCCTTAAGAAGCGACGTCAGCTGAGTTATGAAGGCGGATGTAGAGTTCGTCATTTTATTTGCGCTCCTGGAGAATGAAGGCTGCAGGCCGCTCCCCGTTATCCCAAGAAGTGGCAGATAGAAAGAATAGACTGGCAGTAGGGGGTCCTTAGTGCTCTCTGAGCCTAGCATTTTCTTGCAGGCCTTTCCTGACCCAAGTAGGTAACATCATCAGTGCTAGAAGGGAGGAGGAAGAAAAAGACTGAAAGCTCCTTGGTGCTCTCTGAGCTTGGTTATTTTCTTGCAGACGTTTCATGACCCAACTAGGTAACACCATCAGTGCTAGAAGGGAGGGTGTTCTATGGAGTGGAGGAGGAGGAATTGGAGGAGGTCTGTGAGATCCTTGTTGGTCCCTGAGCTTTGTTACTTTCTTGCAGACATTTCATTACCCAACTAGGTAACATCATCAGAGCTCATGCAAGCAGGATTGATGATGTCACCTAGTTGGGTGATGGAACACCTGCAAGAAAAACCACCAAGCTCAGAGAACATCAAAGACCCCAGAGTGCAACCTTGAGCTACAAGTATTCATTCTATTCGTAAACTCATTGTATCACTTCTCGGGTCTTTGTAGACTATTTGGCTTGTCAAAGGAACACTAAAACTGCCCAGCCTCAAGTTGAAACGAATGGCGTGCTCTTAACTAAAAACCTTCAGCTTGGAGATAAATAAATTCCTTGGAGTCTGTCTCTTCTTGAGCTCTTTGAAGTATTTTTAAAGTCTGGCCTGTCTGGAGAAAAACCCGATTTGAAGATGCTCCTTTGGTCCACTTCCTGTGTCTAGTGATGCGATGCTGACAACGGGGCCAAAGCTACAAAATTCACAAACTCATCAATAAAAGCCTCCTTCCTTTCTCCTTTAGATCTCAGCAGCTGCTTTCTCTGTTCTGACACCGAGTACGTTAAGCCCATGATTTAATGAGTAGATAGAATAGATGCATAAACTGATCCAAACAGATTTTATTTTGTGACAGAAATAAACGACAAAAGGAATGTCTAAATCAAAATGATTTGGAAAGAAATTGGAGCCTTTTCGTTGTCTTTCATGTAAGCCAAACAAACCCAGAGCAGAATAAATTTAAAAAAAAAATGCTTTCCTAGAATCCTTTTTTTTAAAAAATAAATTGCCTAACTGACTGCTCCAACTTTTTTTTTTTTTTCTGTTTTCCTTCTAAGAAAGCAAAAATAGCAAAGGAAGTCTAGCAAAAAGATTTAAATAGAGGCAAAGGCTGATCCAAAATGATCTATTAATATGACCGAGATGTTAATGAGACAACGTTAGGGATTTGTCTATATAGCCTGCAAATGTTTATATCCCAATTTTGGAGGTGTAAATTCTTCCATAGCCAAATACTCTGCACACGTATGTCAAAGTGCTTTTCCAGGGCAGATGGCTCACGCGGGCAGAGTTGTCCCATGAGCGGCACTTCGTGTGGCAGTCTTTACATGTGCCAACGTCTCTTTTCTGAAACTTTCAAATGACCTTGTGGAGAAGGAGATTAAGGTAATGTCAACTCATAAAATATTTCTAGGCTCTTTTTAAGAGTTGCCAACAGAAAGGGAGTGGGGGGGGGGGAGCAGTGCAGCCGCTTGCAAACCGAAACTGCATTCCATAAATGTTTTCAAAGATAGTAACTAGGTGACGGAAGTTTCTGCCGTGCACAATTCTAACTGGAGAGCGGTTTCGGTTTTGCAAGCGGCTGCACTGCTCCCCCCCCCCCCCCCCCCTTCTGTTGGCAACTCTTAAAAAGACCAGAGAAATATTGTATGAGTTGACACAGGGAGGCAGTTTGTTAAAACGCTCCCCGTTGTTCTCAGAAGGAGAAAGACCTCGTCCCACGCAGGAAATG